GATATGTCCTATTTAGTTCTGAGTAAATCATTTGTGAGTGAGACTTCATTATCCTTTCAGGGGAAGGATATAGCGAAGAAATTAATCAGCCATCACCAGTGAAATTATTTCAGGCTTCCTCCTTCATTGATATAGATGAGTTATGCCCATAGTAAGCCCCAATAGACAGGAATACCGAATCTTCTGCCTCAGGGCTTAAAAAAGTGTCAAATTTAGAAACAGATAGACTCTCATAATGAGGGTATACGTTGGTGCCACATCTTTTGATTCTAGTGCCTTCCTTGTCGTGTCTGCTTACAGTCTGTTTTGGGACATAATGCTACTTAAGTCTTACTCTGCCTCACTGCTTGTAGACTCCAGCCTCCTTCTCCCTTTCCCTCCTCAGGTTTGTCAACCATTATCTCTTTGTGGGGGCATAATTCATTTTTAGCCAATATTGATATAAATGCTTACTTGCCTCATCTCAAAGTGTTGCCCTTTCTGTCTTGTGATAATGTCGACCATGAGGAGCAGGGCTGTAACTTTGTCCCTTTGTTAGCAGTAAGCATCACATCTTCTTGTGCAGGTGCACTGTCTTTGTCCTGCAAAGTCACACTAGTCTTTTTTCCTGACTCCGCATTGCATGCTTGTGTCTACTTTGCTACTTGTTCTTCCTCTTATGACTGCCTTTAACATCATGGGGTTTACCATCTTTCTTCTTGCCAATCTTCAGAATTCCTCGTAGTTCTAACTTAAGCTGTTTCAATTGTTCTGCGTCTGAATATTAGCCTACGTATTTGTGGGGCTATGCTGTAGCTGTGGTTATACTATAACACGGCTTATATCTGTCCTCTGACAAAATTCATGCATCTTGTCATCCTGTATGTTGTTCAAGGAACAGGCTACAGAGCTGTGAAGGAGTTCTTTCTGCCTCTGTTTAAGATAAAATACACTTTAAAAATAAAAGATCTGTTAGCTCCATGAGAACAGACAGGAGAAAGGACAGACCAGATCATTTGGGTCTGGTGAGATAGAGAGGAAGGCAGGGGAGGGGGTATTACACACCACAGAACAGCCGTGCGAAGCCTCCTGAATTGATGCTTGAGTTGTTTCTGATAGCCCACTGTGTCATTTACCAAAAGCAAGTCTGTTTGCCCTGCTATGGTGAGGTGTGTGGAGGCTGTAGACTTCCCAAAGGTCTGCTATACTGACCTCCTGCGTATTGCTGCTCCTGTTTGGCTTTAGAGTTTTGTAACCTCACAGGTGGATGTGATTGACCTGCTGGTATCCTGGTTATGGCTAGCAGTATTGCTGGGCCTTGTTTTATTCCAACAGCATTCAGAAGAGTAGGCAATTCATGCACTGTGTTAGACTACATTTTATTAACTTGCAAGTCTCTCTCTCATTTCCAGTTGCCGTCTTCTAAATGGATTCCAGTGAATTTTCAGGATCTTTGGACCCCCTGTCCTTGCCTGACAAACCACTTATTGGCGATCTCCCTGCTGACATGGAGTTTGGGGAAGATCTCCTGGGCTCCCAAACAGCTTCTACCCAGGAAGTTTCAGTTCTTCAGCCTCCTGACTGGGATCAATCCAAGCAGATGACTGCAGATGGGGACTTGGACCTTCTAGTGAAAGCAGACAACCTGTCTGAACTAAACAAATCAAACGACCTTGTTCTAGATAAACCTAGTGTCTTGGATATGCTGGAGAAACCTGAGGTCTTAGATGACTTGAATAAGACTGCTGACTTGATGGAGCTAGATAAATCGGAGGGTCTGGATGGGCTGTATAAGGCACATCCTTCCCAAGGTGTGGAGGATGGACTGGTGGACTCCTCTGCCCTCTCTAGAGAAGCCCTTGTTCCAGAAACATGGCAAGAAGGGGAAGATGCACCAAAAAATTATTCTGGCGACCTAAAGGAAGATGATGCTGCTGCTATTCCTGCACTGTCTGATGACAACGCCCCTCAGTCACCCCAACAGCTCCTTCCTGATTCCAGGGACCTCAGCAGTGCCCCAGCCTCGGAAGAAATCACAGCACAATCCTCAAGTCTGCCGGTGGTGCCCTCACAACTCAGTCTTAAACAGACAAAGAAGACAAGGTTGAAGGCACCAAGGAAAAGCTCACCCATGCAGAGGGAAGGGCTAGCAGGGGAAGCAGAGGTGGAACTGAGCCCAGACAGCAGTACTGCAGCTTTGCCCCCTGAGCCCAGGGAGCAAAACCAGGCAAAGGAAGGGGATGATAGCAGGAACAATTCACTTAAAGACAGTAGTGTACTGAAAGCACAGGAAGCCTCACCACCAGCAGGTAGGTTGTTATCTCTGCAGAGCTTGGCTTAGTTTTGCTCAGGAGATCATCCTGCTGCACATTGTTGAAGCTGGAGTCTGTTTTGTGCTCCAACTTACCCCATCATCCCCTGCTATGGAAATTGTCAATGCTACTGGTGGGCTAGATTTGGGAAAAGCATCTTGCTTACACGGAGTAATGCTCTGGAAGCTGCTCCCTTGGTGCACACAAGCTCTTGCTCTGGCTTTCATAGCTTTAACTTTGATTTTCAATGTTTGTGTCAGCTAGGAGCTTCCCTGATAAAGCTGCGGCTGTGCATCAGCTTAGCTCACACTCTTCATCACTGGAGTCTTTGCTGAAACTGAGAATCACCAGAAGGTGTTTCCAATAGGCAAGTCCCTCCGCCTGTGCTGACCGTCCTCAGGAGATGCTCAGTCTCAGTCAGAAGCAGTTGGAGGCAACTGCCCAGCATGCATCACCCGTGCAGGGAGGTCTCCCCCTTACAGAACTCCTCCCAATCTATGTATTTGGATCTCTAACTATAGATGGTGGGTTTAGGAACTTTCCCGTGTCTGATCACCACCAGAACTGTGCTTCTTAGCCAGGACTGTCTGAGGCTTCATGTGCAGACTGACCCAAAGGGTGGCTGCATTTGAAGAGCACCTACCTTCTTCTGTTGGAGAAAAGCAAGATGTTAGATGCAAGCTTCTTCTGTGCTTCTATTCTAGGAGAAGGCCTGTCTGGGAAGGGAAGCGAGCTGCCAACTGAGAAGGTGAGGAGAGTGCAGTCAAGTACATATGCTGCAGGAGCATAGAGGGTGGCTGGCTGTTGTCAAACTCCATGAGAAGGAGTTCACTTGTCTTCTGTGACAGAGTGATCTCTGCACTGCCACTGTGCTGTAATGTGGCTTCAGTGTGTCCCTGCTACCCCCAGCTGGAAGGTCATTCTTATAAACCTACTTCCCCCTCTCTCCTATCTTGCCAACTCTGGCCAGGTATCCATGGAGTTTTATGTTTTCAGCCTAGTTATTGGGAAAGCAAATCCCAGAAGTTGGAACTCCATTGTGATCTGAGATATTTATCCATTGTTGTCCTACCAGATGGTTAGCCTAAGTATTTGCTGAATGTCTTCTAGGAGCAGAAAAGAAGTGAACGAGCCAGAAGATCAGAAACTGCCAGGCCTGAAACTGTGAACTCCTCTGAGAGCAGTGAGTAACTAGGAGTAGCTCATGCCTGTTTTCAGCCAGAGAGCGGGGCCCAGACTCGTTGTGGGCAGGTGGTTCATGGTGTTCATGGTTGGAACTCTGGAACTTCTGTGCAGACTTTCCACTTACACAAGACAGGTCTCTGCACCCCATGAGTCTTCATCCTGGGGTACTTGCCTTGATTTCCAAGGGCACTTAGGTTGAAGGGAGGGTTGTAATATTTTTACAGTGGTGTGTGGACACCAAGCACCAAGTAATAGGATGAGACTCCGGGGTTGTTCCCAGGAAATCCATCTTCTATCTCCTCAGCCAGGAACTTTCTTCCTTTGTCTCTATGGCAGCAGGCCTTCTGAAGGAAGGTTGCGTTTTTTTGGATTTTCCTGCAGAAGTATGTGAGGTCTCTGTTCTTTGAGATGTAGAGTGTCACCCCGCCATTCCCTAGTATTTGTGCATTGCTCCTTCATTGTCTGCCTGTGCAGCCTGTGCTGGAGGCTGGTGATACAGCTTGTTCCCTTTAAGGTCTACTGGTTCTTGGAGGGTTTTCTGCTGTAAGTGTTCACACTTTGGGCTTCTGCTCAACCTTGGCAAATTATGACTTCCTAGAGAGGAGTTGTACTTAAGCCTGGTTTGCTTAAAGACCTCCTGATTCATCTCCAATTCCAACAGAATATCTTTTAAGGGTCCCTTTATCATCCCACCCAGATAGGTACAAAGCATGTAGAGGGACTCCAGGACCTGACCTCAGAAAGCCCCGGCGTGTCTCTCATGGCAGAGATTTCTGTCTCATTTCCTAATGTGGGATTTCTGTGCATCTTTCTCTGCTGCTTTGCAGTTCCAGTCTCTGATGAAGACTCTGATGCAATGGTGGATGATCCCAATGATGAGGATTTTGTTCCTTTTCGTACCCGGCGCTCAACTCGCATGTCTTTACGCACTCAGATGGCACAGCGGGCTGCCCGCTCTGCTGTCACCAAGATGACTTGTGCCAACTGCCGAACCCCACTGCAGAAGGGCCAAACTGCCTACCAGCGTAAAGGGCTCCCTCAGCTCTTCTGCTCCAGCTCCTGTCTCACCACCTTCTCAAAAAAACCACCTGGCAAGAAGATATGCACCTTCTGTAAAAAGTGTGTGTTCATTCCCCTTTCCTCAATGCTCCTGTGCTTGTGACCCCATTCACCTGCCACACAGCCCTCTACCAGCCAGTCTCCATCCCTGTGACCCTCATGCTTCCCATTCAGCCCTATCACTCCTGCCCACTGCCAGCTGCTGCCCCATGTCTTCCTTCACACACCGCATATCACATGCACCCTAACACCCCTTTCACATTATTGCCTTTCCCTGCCTGTCCCCAGGCTCAATACCCCATATCCCAGCCTCCTTTCAAAACAGCCTTCCACATGCTCCATTTTCAGGCACCATCCCTCTGGGCTGGGATAGAAGCTGCTGTGAAGCAGTTCTTGCCACGCTTTTGGGACACCAGAAAGTCCCGTGCATTGCAGTGTGCCATCCTGTCCCTTCGTGGCAGGACTGATGTGTCCCTGCACTAACACAACCCCTTCTGATCCCCAGGGAGATCTGGAACACCAAGGACTCTGTGGTTGCCCAGATTGGTTCAGGCGGCTCTTTCCATGAGTTCTGTACCTCTGTCTGCCTCTCCCTCTATGAGGCCCAGCAGCACAGACCAGCCCCTCAGTTTGCAGATGCCTCTGACACCAGCCGCTGCAGCGTCTGCCACAAACCTGGCGAGGGAAACAAATGCCTTGTCCTTCCTATGTCCTGTGTGAGGTGCTTGTGACCTGCAGCACTTGGCCCTGCCTGGGACCATCACAGGGCATTTGCCAGGTTTCCTGTGTTGTGAATCCTCAGCCTCTGAGCTGGCTTGGGCTCACTCCCCAGTCCTTCCTTGTTACTGTGAACCAGCCCTTGTTCTGGCAGAAGAAATAAGGCTTCTGCTTCTCCCTGCCCTGAAGCTCATTGCTTCCTGCCACTCCACTCTCCCAATTGCTCCAGTGACTTTTGGCAAAGGAGGCCAGCCTGAGACCACACCAGCTTCCAGTATGGCACTTACCTGAGTTTTAGAGAAACAGCCTGTTATGCCAAGGGCTGTGGTAGTAGTGATGCACGTGTGTCAGAAGGAGGCACATGGTGGTCTGGGGGGAGTGACAACAATGTTGTCTCTGCAGATCCAGCATGAGGTCAGCAATGGGAGCGTGGTTCACCGCATCTGTAGCGATGCCTGCTTCACCAAGTTCCGGGCCACCAAGGGGCTGAAAACTAACTGCTGTGACTACTGTGGACTTTACATCTACAACAAGGGCTTGCCGCTGGAGTACCTCTTTCATGAAGGCCAGCAAAAACGCTTCTGCAACTCTGCCTGTCTTAACAGTTACAAGAAGGTGTGTGAAGCCAGCTGCCTGAGGTGGGGGGTCTCCATGGGCACACAGCTCCTTTGCTCGATGTGGCACAGGGCACTTTATGCAATAGCAGGTGACTTGAATCCCATTGGCCTTTTATTGCTGACAAATCATTTAAGAGATTGCTGTGGAGAAACTGAAGTAGGCCAACAAAATTTATTTATTCTGCATGGGACCCATCTTGGACCTGAGCATGGGCCAGGCACTCGATAAGCTGGACTGTGCAGCGATACTGGTATATGCAGTTAGCATGATGGGCTGGCTTCTTCTGGGTGTCTCCCCAAAAAGCTTGGCTGGATATGTTCCCCTGTGGCCTGAGTAGGCTTCATTTAACTGTCTTGATAGGATCACCAAGCTCTGTATTACTGCCAGGGTACTCTTGAAATGAGAAGGTGAGGTGCTGAAGGCAGCCTTTTTTGCTATCACCACCTGATTTTGCAGACTATGAGGCTGGCTCTGGCATCAGGTGTTCCTTGCAGGAGAGCTGCCCTGTGTTGGATACAGTAGTGGGGTGGGATACGAGGGTCAGACCTTGCCAGCTCTGATGATCAAGCTGGCAGCTCTGTTCTGCTCTGTGTTTGCAGAAGAACACTCGAGTCTACCCGTGCATGTGGTGCAAGACGCTGTGCAAGAACTTCGACATGCTGCCCAACGTGGATCGCAGTGGCAAAATGGGGCTGTTCTGCTCCATTTGCTGCACTACCTCCCACAAAGTGAAGCAGTCAGGCTTGGTTGGTAAGAGCACCTATGTGCAGGGAATCAGTCACCTCTCCACTCTAACTCCTTGCTTAGTACTATTTATTGCTTGTGGTTGAGACTGGAAAGAAGGCCTGTTGCTTGCCTGAGAAGGAGTCCAGTGGGACAAGGGGAAGGAGATTTGGAGAGGGAGGAACCCTTGCAACATGTAGACATCTTAATACTGAGGGGTAGTGTACATTATTGTTCTTGAGAATGCAGGCAGCAGTTGTAGTGCCGTACTGTGCTGGCATTGTCCTTTCCATTACATGGACTACCAGAGTGTCCAGGAATGAGTATGGTCTCTGGTGCAGGTACTGCAGCCTGTTTTGTCCGAATTCCTGTAGATCCAGGGTCACTTCCTTGAACCACTCTGCTCTCCATCTATGTTTTAACATTTCTGTCCTAGCAGAATCTGATGCTCTTAGTTTCCTGGTGTTCTTGTTCCTTGCTTTTTGATAATCCTTGACAGGCTGAGGATGAGTGAGTAGCTTGCATGCCATCCTCAGAATCCAGTCCCATGTCCTGTGCTGCTGCCCTCACCAATTCCTATCTGTTTCATCAGGTCCCCCTAGACCCTGCAGCTTCTGCAGAAAGAGTTTATCTGAACCCTGCTATTACAACAAGACAGACCGGGTTGTCTACCAGTTCTGCAGCCCCAGCTGCTGGACCAAATTCCAGGTACTGAAACTATCTTTCATGCTGGGCTGGGCCATAGAGCTCATGCCTCCTTTCACACTTAGCAGAGGCTCCACCTTCCTTAAGCTCCCCAGGGAGGGTCAATAAGAAAGTCTCTGCTGGAGCACAAGAGTTGCAGTGATTGTAGTTGCCAGTAACTTAGTCTTGGCCTTATCTTCCCCTTCCTCTGTTGGGATAAGACGGGCTATGATTCACTGCTGTCCGTCAGGTTATGCCCAGCAGGAGAACAGTGCAGAGCTGTGCTGCATGAGTGGTTTGGGATTTAGTGACCTTACGAGGGCATGAGCAAAAGTAAAGTAAGCTAGTGAAGCACAGTGGGCACCTTGTAGTGGGGTGGAAAGAGGCAGAGCTGCCCTCTGAGCCAGGTGTCACCAAAGAACATAAGTCTTCTAGGATGTGTTGTCTAAAAATTTACAACCAGCAGGCCTGGGTACCTCATGTTTAATAATGCTCAAAGGCTTGACTGATGGTTTTTGATCTTCTGATGTTAAGTTTCAGCATATGCGAAATATTTGTGATATTCAAAGGCAACTGGAAGAACATCAGTTTTATACAGTTGTCAAAGAATAAAGCAACAGCCAGGAAGACCTGGGAAACTTAGGCCATGACATGCCTTGGGCAACTGAGGAAACAGAGAATCCAGAGATAGAGAGTTAGTTACTGGCAGTCACAGCATTTGGGTTTGGGGTTTGTCTTTTTTCTTGTGTTTTTACTTTGGTTTTTTTTTTTTTGCGTGTTCGTTTGTTCTTTAATAAATCCTTGATGTAATCCTTCGCTGAGATCACAAAAGGTGTTGGCAGGGTAGCTGTAGAGTTTTTCAGTGTTAAACTTCCTAAAACTTGAATCGTAGAACAGTTTGGGTTGGAAGGGACCTTTAAAGGTCATCTAGTCCAACCCCTCAGCAATGAGCAGGGACATCTTCAACTAATCAGGTTGCTCAGAGCCCTGTCTAATCTGACCTTGAATGTTTCCAGGGTTGGGGCATCTACTACCTCTCTGGGCAACCTGTTCCAGTGTTTCACCAGCCTCATCGTAAAAAAATTTGTCCTTATATCTAGTCTAAATCTACCTGCTTTTAGTTTGAAACCATTACCGCTTGTCCTGCTGCAACAGACACTGCTAAAAAGTTTGTCCCCAAGGACTTTGTTCTTAAAGTCCACTTTAAGAATTGAAAGGCTGCAATAAGGTCTCCCTGGAGCCTTCTCTTCTCCAGGCTGAACAAGCCCAACTCTCTCAGCCTGTCTTCATTGAGGACGTGTTCCAGCCCTCAGATCATTTTTGTGACCCTCCTCTGGACCTACTCCAACAGGTCCATGTCTTTCCTGTGCTGGGGACTCCGGAGCTGGATGCAGCACTGCAGGTGGGGTCTCACAAGAGCTGAGTAGAGGGGCAGAATCCCCTCCCTTGACCTGCTGGCCATGCTTCTTGTGATGCAGCCCAGGACATGGTTGGCTTTGTGGCCTGCAAGTGCACATTGCTGGCTCATGTCTGGCTTTTCATCCACCAGTATCCCCATGTTCTTCTCCATAGGGCTGCTCTCAATACTTTCATCCCCCAGCCTGTGTTGATACCAGGGGTTGCCCCAACCTATATGTGAGACCTTGCACTTAGCCTTGTTGACCCTCCTGAGGTTCACACAGGCCCACTTCTAGAGCTTAGATAGCATCCTGTCCCTCAGGTGTGTCAACTGCACGACTTAGCTTGGTGTCATCTGCAAACTTGCTGAGAGTGCACTCGATCCCACCGTCTTATGTCATTGATGAAGATATGAAACAGTACCGGTCCCAATATGGACCTCCGAGGGACACCACTTGTCACTGATCTCCATCTGGACATTGAGCCGTTGACCACTACCCTCTGGGTGTGCCCATCCAGCCAATTCTTCATCCACCAAACAGTCCATCATTCAAATCCATATTTCTCCAACTTAGAGAGAAGGATGTTGAGGGGAACGGTGTCAGAGGCCTTATGGAAGTCCAGGTAGATGACATCTGAGGCTCTTCTGTTGCCCGCTGATGTAGTCACTCTGTCATAGATGGCTACTAGGTCAGTCAGGCAAGACTTGCCCTTGGTGAAGCCATGCTGGCTGTGTCGGAACACCCTCTCCATGTGCCTTAGCATAGCTTTTAGGAGGATCTGTTCCATGATCTTCCCACGCACAGAGGTGAGGCTGACAGGTGGGTAGTTCCTAGGGTCCTCCTTTCTACCCTTTTTTTAAACTGAGTGCAATGTTTCCATTTTTCCAGTCACCAGGGTCTTCATCTAATTCACCTAACATGAGTTATTACCATGTAAAATCAGCATTGTAATGTATGAGTGAACCCATGGATAACCTGGATTAGGAACTGTCTTGCTGATGGATCTCAGAACACATTTATGAAAGAAAAACTACTGAAAAGAGTGTTTCAAGATGGCTTCTTGGGATCAGTATTAAGCCCAAGGAGTTCAACATCTTCATCAGTCATCTGGCGATAAAGTCAAAGTAAGCATGATTAAATTTTGCAGATGAAACAAAAACTGGTGAAGTGTTCCCTCATGGTGAGGTCAGGGCAGTCATAGAAAGCAAAGCATTGGATTGCTTGACAAGACTGTCTCCTTCTAATGTATAGAACCATAGAATGGTTTGGGTTGGAAGGGACCTTAAAGAGCATCTAGTTCCAACCTCCCTGCAATGGACAGGGACACCAGGTTGCCCAACGCCTCATCCACCTGGCTTTGAACAGTTCCAGGGACAGGGCAGCCACAACTTCTCTGGGCAACCTGTTCCAGTGCCTCAACACTCATAGTGAAAAATTTCTTCCTTAGATCTAATCGAAATCTGCCCTCTTTCAGTTCAAAGCCATTGCCCCTTGTCCTATCACTACATGCCCTTGTAAAAAGTCCCTCTCCAGCTTTCCTGTAGGCCCCCTTTAAGTACTGGAAAGCTGCTATAAGATCACCCCGGACGGAGCCTTCTCTTCTCCAGGCTGAACAGCCCCAACTGTCTCAGCCTGTCTTTGCAGGAGAGGTGTTCCAGCCCTTGGATCATCTTCGTGGCCCTCCTCTGGACTCGTTCCCGCAGCTCCATGTCCTTCTTGTGTTGGGGACTCCAGAGCTGAAAGCAGCACTGCAGGTGGAGTCTCACGAGAGCAGAGCAGAGGGGCAGAATGCCCTTTCTCAACCTGCTGGCCACGCTGCTTTGGATGCAGCCCAGGGTACGGTTGGCTTTCTGGGCTGCCAGCGCATATTGCTGGCTCATGTTGAGCTTCTCATCAACCAACACCCTCAAGTCCTTCTCCTCAGGGCTGCTCTCAATCCATTCTCTGCCCAGCCTGTACTAGTGCTTGAAGTTGCCCTGACCCATGTGCAGGACCTTGCAGTTGGCCTTAAACACAGTTAAACACAGTTCTGTGCAAGATCCTGTATCAGCCTTACTCAAGTAGTGTGGGGGTGTGACTCCTGAGAAAGTAAGGATTTTGAAAAGCCCTTGGGATTACAGCAGATAAGCCACTCAGTGTGAGCATCTGTTTGCAGCCACAGAGGGAAGGATTAATTAAGTTATTGCAAATATAAGCAGAGAATGTTGCACAGATAGGAAGACTGTTCATCTAATGTCCACTTTATTTTCAATGTTGAAGAAAAAATGGAAGTATGCTGAAAAAATAGAAATTATATTTGGGCTTGAAAAAATGCATGTACTGAGGCACTCGCAGAGCACCTTGTCTGAGGTTATCAGAAAGAAAAGCAGGAAGATTACTTTATTAATAAATATAGAATAATAATATATTTATTTATATATTCTATATAAATATAGAATCTTAGAATCATAGAATGGTTAGGGTTGGAAGGGACCTCAAAGACCATCTAGTTCCAACCCCCCTGCCATGGTCAGGGAAATCCTCCACTACACCAGCTTGCCCAAAGCCTCATCCAACCTGGCCTTGAACACCTCCAGGGATGGGACATCCACAGCTTCTCTGGGCAACCTGTTCCAGTACCTCACCACCCTCAATGTGAAGAATTTCTTTCTTATATCTAACCTAAATCTGCCCTCTTTCAGTTTAAATCCATTGCCCCTTGTCCTATCACTACACACCCTTGTAAAATATATCCTTGTGGACAAGACACCAAGTGCTAAATGACTGTTTAATCTAGCAGAGGAAGGTGAGATGAGAACGGCCGCTTGAATTCTGAAGTTGCATTACATTGAAAATAGAAACCACCTATGCTTCAAGATTTCTTAGAGAAATTGTCAGGAGAGGTAGCGGAGCACCCGTCTCTTAATGTTTTCAATCAGAAGGGTGGCAGCTTGAAAGCTTGCCTTCCTGAGAAGAGCTGGACCCAGTACACTGGAAGCAAAGTGAAACTGCTCAAGAACCTGCTCTCCAGGAGCTTGCGACATGATCTGATGGACTGACTGTGAGTCACTGACAGTGACGGCGAGCGCAGGCCTGAGCAGGGGCAGATGGACTGCTGTGAGCGGTGGAGGAGGCAGGAGGTGGTGGCAGTGCAAGGCAGGTGCTCACTGCCCTCTGTGTGCCTCTCCCTGAATGAACTGTCTCTGTCTTCTGCAGCGCACTAGCCCGGAAGGTGGGATCCACCTCAACTGCCATTACTGCCACAATCTTTTCAGTGGGAAGCCGGAGATCCTAGACTGGCAGGTGAGGACTTTCCCCAGGGGGGATGTCAAGGCAGAGGCCACCCTTGATGAGGACTGGAGGGCTCCTTCCTCTTCCTGCTCAAAGCAGAGCTCCTTCTGTGCCAGTGCTCTGAATGCTTTAGCTACAGAGATGTGCCTGGAGACCGTGTGCTAAGTGCTGCTCTCCTGATGCTCAGCGGGATGTCGGAACGGCAGGAGGAGACCACTTCTGCCAAACCTCGTGTCAGGAGAGCTGTAGTCTCGGCTCAGCCCCATAGTCTTGCTCTTGCTTCTCCTGGAAGTGTAGGAACCTCCTGCCAGGCTGGCTGACCCCGTGGCGGTCTCTTTGGCAGGACAAGGTGTATCAGTTCTGCTGCAAGGACTGCTGCGAGGACTTCAAGCGGCTGCGTGGGGTGGTGTCTCAGTGTGAGCACTGCAAGCAGGAGAAGCTGCTGCACGAGAAGATCCGCTTCTCTGGAGTGGAGAAGAACTTCTGCAGCGAAGGTACTTGGGGAAGGCAAGGGAGAGGCAGAGCCCCCGTGCCAGCCTATGCTGGGGGAAGAGAAGAGAGCATGGAGAGGAACAGAGGGGAGACTGTCTTAGCCAGGCCCTGGGGCGAGAGCCTTGCCATGCAGTGAAGGGAGGACTGTGATGGGGATGGCTTGCTGTCCAGCCAGGCCACAGGGCAAGATCTTTACCATTCATTGTGTCCTTGGGGAGGGCTTTCTCACAGCTTTTCTCTCTCTGGGGGCTGGGGAGACAGCAGGTGGCAGCTCCGCTCCTCCTGTCATCATGCACTTCTACGCTCTTGCGTCTGGGCTGGCCTGACCTGGCCTTGCCCTGCCTGCTGGGTTCCTGCACACAGGAGGTTGGAGTCAGACTCTTCCTAGAAGCATGGAGGTGAGAGATGGCAAGTCCCCATGAGGTCCCATCTTATCCCAGCCCCAGGGGCCAGTGCTGGATTGTTCCCTACAGTGTGTTGCGTGTGCTCTGTTGTCTCCGCAGACCTGGATTGTGGTCATGTTTGGGTCAGGGAGGCCCCCAGTTCATCCTGGGAAGGTTTCACTCCTATTGTTTCTCCGCAGGGTGTGTGCTTCTTTACAAACAGGATTTCACCAAGAACCTGGGCCTGTGCTGCATCACCTGCACCTACTGTTCTCAGACCTGCCAGCGGGCGGTCACCGAGCAGCTGGAGGGCAGCACCTGGGACTTCTGTAGTGAAGACTGCAAAAGCAAATACTTGCTCTGGTACTTCAAGGTCAGTATTGGCACTGGCAGCTTGTGCTAAGTGCTGTGGTGGGCACGGCACCCAAATAAGTGGGCATTGCACTGAGGAAGTTCGCACTGCTGGAGTCTGGCTGGCACTGCTGCGGAGAACCTGGCACTGCTGGAGTCCTGCCTGGCAATGACGGGACACTGCTACGGGGAAGCTCACGTAGCTGGAGTCCCCATCTGATCCTGCCAGAGCACTGCACTGAGGAAGCTCACAGTGCTGGATCCGTGGCTAGTGCTGCTGTGAGAAGTTTGCACCGCTGGAGTCCCTGGCTGGCACTGGCAGGGCACTGCTGTGGGGAAGCTCACAGCGCCTTGCCATGTGCACCTTTCACTGGAGAGTTGTGTTGCACTCGGAGGGGGTGTGGTTAGTTACTCGTTGTTTCTCTCCTGCTGATGCGGGCTTTAGGCAGCTCGGTGCCATGCCTGCAAGCGTCAGGGGAAGCTGCTGGAACCCATCCACTGGCGGGGGCAAATCAAACACTTCTGCAACCAGCAGTGTCTGCTGCGATTTTACAATCAACAGAACCAGCCCAACCTGGACACGCAGAAGGGGCCCGAGAGCCAGTAGGAGGGAGGGAGGGGACCTGCATAGCTCAGTCCAAGAGACACAGGGAAGACTGAACAGCAAGGGGTGGAAGCTTCCTGCCCGGGACTGGATGAGACGCTAGGGAACAATCCTGCACTGGCCCTTGGGGGGGAAAGATCGGAGTGGGACCTAACGGGGCTTCTCCATCTCTAACATCTATGGTTCTATGACACACAGGGCCCAGACGGGAGGAGCCGGTGCCAGCGTGCTGCCTGTAGCTCACACTCTTAGCGAGGATACTCAGGGATTTAACGTCCACATGTTGCCAGCGGAGAGCTTGATTTACAGGGTTAGGGGACAGCATGGTTTGGCATGATAATCTACCTGCAGCCCCACACCACCTCTGAGCTGTGACCTTCTCAGATCTCATAAGCTAATCAGGATTGGGCCAGGTCAGTGCTTGGATGGGAAACATTCAAGGGAAATGCAGGGTGCTGCAGGAAGTGGCATTGATGATGCTGTAGGTGGGCTCTTAGCCAGAGCTGAACCTAGAACAATGTTGAGGGAGCACTGAGCTGCTGGAGGCACTCTGTCTTGCGATGTTAGATTGGAGTCCTGCCACTTGCCCAAAGACTGGCTTTGGGGAGTTGCCAGCCCCATGTCCTGGATAACCCCATTCTGCAACCATGGAGTTCCAGCTGGAGAGGAGATTTTCACTGCCTGTTGCCCTATTTCCTATCATTAACTTGAGCCAGTTGCTCACAGAAGATTGAAAGTGCTTTGGGGTCCCTCAGGATGGAATGTGCTCGTGGTGACAGTGACAAGGCATCACTTGGCCGTCGGACACTCACTTAGTCTCATTCTGCTTGGCCTTTCATAGGCCATGATCTTCTAGGTAATCTGTGGGATCTAGTTAAAATGCCTGCAGCTTACGGTGGGACTTGCTTCCATGCATCAAGCTTCAACAGATACCTGCATCACCGGCTCAGGGCTTTGCTACCCTCCCTGGGATTTCATGAGGTGTAAAACCCTAACTGGGGTGCACCAAGGAGAGGAAACCAAGACAAGGACCTTCCTACAAGAGACCTCAGCCTCCATCTCCAGACTCTTCCTGGTTCTTCTCCTGGTAGCAGCGGGCTGACTGCAAGATGGGGAAGCCCTGGATGTCAGTGCTGCTTAGGCAGCAAAGCAGAGCTGCTCTGCCAGAAGCAGGAGGTTCCCCCAGCCAGGGGAATCCCAACCTGCTGTCCGAGAATCATGTTCCTTAACAGGCCTTGTGAGGCAACGGCTTAAGTGGCAGCACGCTGGAGTAACCTGGGTAAGGAACTGTTGGTTTCTGCTGGCACGAGGGTGCCCATGGGGAGTCTGCTTGATGGGGCACAGACTGTCCTGCTGCCCAGGGGAGGAAGAGGCATTAAACTTGCTGGTTCCTGTAGCTCACCAAGTGATTCCACAGACCTAGCCATGCTGTTCCATTTGTCCTCTGCTTTCATGGCATCTTCCTTGTGAGGGACCAGCAGCATTGCTTTTGGGACACAGGCACAGTGAGCAAGCTCTGCCTCCAGGGGGAAGCATATTTCACACCGTCTAGCCATTGTCTCCTTGGAGCCATGGACCACAAGACTGAGAAGTACCTTCTCTACCACCACCAACCACGAGAGTCTGAGCTCCCTGCTCCACCACATCTCTGGAGGCCCCCAAGAACTTTGCTGTTTGGCACCCTTCACCGTGCCACAGCTGCCTCTCCGGGCACCCTGTGAAGCAGAGGACTCTGATGGGCTTTCCCATGGCTGCCCTCAGCAATGGTGAGTGCTTGGCTGAGCACAAGCTCCAGGCTGCCCCAGCTGCAGCTGTCATGCTTGGTGAATGCTGATAGTGGCACCGGGCCTTCTGTGTGTTCTGGCACACCCAACCCTTGCCAGTTGTGGGATAGCTGTGGACATCCTTGTCCTGGGACTGCGACATACTGCTCAGCTTGCAAAAGAAGGGTGCTGGAACCAGGGCCTGCTGTGTGCTTACCCAGAGAGCTTTCTAGCCCAGTGTGCCGTGCAGGAGATTTTGGGAGGAGCAGCTTCTGCCTGGTCCCACCGGGGTCTCCTGTGGACCTTGCAGCTGTGTTGCCAGCTCACAAGGGACTACCTGGATTTCAGGCCCATCTTGAGCAGAGTTGCTGACTACTTGTTTCTTCTCTTGCAGCCAGTGGTTGCCTAAAACCATTCATTCCTGTGATCCAATGGCTGCTGCCAATCTCATGATCCCAAGAGTGTTTGCTGATGATAAAAGTGGACATTCGTTTGCTGGGAGCAGTCTGTGTAATGAGAGATTGAGGAGTTTCTGCCACAGAACTGTGCCCAAAGACTTCCAAGGGGAACTGGTTCTGCACGGTGCCATCCAGCTGGAGAGGACAGAGGGCCAGAAGTCACGTTTGGTGTGGGCAATGCCTTGACAGCTCCTTACTGGTGTTGGGATGAGAGTAAAGAACAAGCTGCAGCTTTCGTGGAAGCCTGGACATGTAGCACATGGAGCTTTGTGCAGAAGGATCTTGTTTCCCTCAGTGCTAAATCATTGGCTTGTGGGACAATTACTTTGCTTTTGATTCTGCTGCAGCAGAAACTGCTCATACTCCATAGCTTGTCTTTTCTCATTAAAGCCATTGATGTCTTCCACCTAGACCTGCTGCCCATCTACTTTGGGGTGGTCAGGGGGAGTTCTTGAACCCGTTGATACTGTTCCAGATCCTATGGCTGAATGCTCAGCTGCAGGCTAGGGAGCTTCCTCCAACTGGAATTTATACATCCCTCTGCAGTGATCAACAAGTGGACCCTGCTGAGCCTCTAGTTGCTCAAGAGCTGTCCTGCCTTTTCTCGAGACAGAGGAAATCTGCACAGTGCACATGCCTGTGTGTTGGTCCTTTGGGAGTCTGGGTCTTTCCTGGAGAGCCTGTCTGTATACAGGAAGTGCAGATGGACCCACCGCTCCCTTTGGGTGCTGAGACCTGCTGCTTTCCTTGCAGGTGTCTCCTTCGTGCATGGCCCACGGTTAGTCAGTGCTGTAGAAGGCAGTTCTTTTTCCCAGCCACATGGGTAACCAGGGCTCACGGGGCACTTGAATGAAGGTGTTCTTTTAGCTCTTTAGCCTTTGAGATGGGTGCAGGTTCTCTTCAGAGCAAATGAGCTGGAATTATCATCCAAGCCAGGATGATACTGTCACCACCTGAGACTGTCTGCCACACGCACCCCTTACCTGCAGGTGATCCCCTCTTGCCCTAGGGGAATGGACTGCATCCCTAGGACTGTGGCAAAGCTATCTCTCTGCTTTCTGGGATATCTCATAATGCTGCTACTAGCTCTGTCACTGTCTTCCTAGGGATCTCGAAGCACCTTGCCAAGATATTTGTAGCAGGGAGATGGAGGCACAGGGAGGGGCCATGGCTTGGTACAGCAAGCTAATAGGCAGAGGTGGGAACAGAGCCCTGCATTTATCTCTCTACAAGGGGTTGGGATTTCTCCTGACCTTCTGTGATGGGGATGGCGTGGACTGCAAGGGAGCACAAAATTACATGAGTTGATTTTGGAGTTAGTGTTTCCTGAGCTGCTAGGGCTAGAGAATGTGGAAACATTAACTGTTCCTGGAGAGGCCAGGAGCAGTTTCTTGGGAGCCTGTCCCTGCCGTCAGGCTGCTGCCACCTCCAGTCCCTGCAGTGGGACCTGTTGGCCCAGGAACTCTTGAACTTAGAGTCATTGCTTTCTCTTACAGGTCAGACTTCAGAGCCAAAACCACCTGCCCCTTCCCCACAGAAGGCAGAGACTAACATGGTAAGGCTGGTTGGAGGTAGGAGTTTGCAAGATAGCACAAAGGGGCTGTCCCCAAAGAGAGGACAGATCTGCTATTGCTCAGTGAGATTTCATTCTTCTACTACCAGTGCATTTTAAGATGTCTGGGTAGCGAGAGCTGTCAAGAGCTGCTGGTGAAGGCAGCATCTGCATATCTCCTGCAAGGGGGAAGAATAACCATTTCCCAAGAATCGATGATGGGCTCCAGAACAGCCTGCCACTGGCACTGGCTCCTCTTGGCATGGCGCTTCCCTGTGCCTGGGTATAGTTGCTGTGACACTGTGTTCCCCGCTGTCCCGTGGGGCAGGAGCGACCAGTGCCAGACTCCCTGCTGGCTGCTGCCGAGGTGCTGCACAGGCCTGCTGCCTGTTACCCGCAGCTTTGCGGTACCTTGGCTGGGTCTGACTGCGGGAGCATGTGTGCGCGCGCGCGCCTGTGTGTGTGTGTGTGTGTGTGTGTTGGGGACTGCCAGGCTCCAAGAGGTGCTTTGGGAGTCTCTCCTGCTCTACCCATGGTTGCAAAGAGGTAGTGCTGCCTTAGGTGGACACCAACCTCCTGCTTTCTGCATTTCCCTAGCTGTCAGCAAAGACCTCCTCAGCCCAGATATCTCCAGCCGTGCCACCTCCCGCACCCCCTCCAGTTCCAGCCACCCCTCGGAAAAACAAAGCTGCCATGTGTAAACCTCTGATGCAGAACCGAGGCATTTCCTGCAAGATAGAAATGAAGTCCAAAGGATGTCAGACAGGTAGGAAAAGAAGACACAACTGTGGGATTACAGGAGCATTTTGGAAAGGCAAATGGCACGTCCCTGCTCCAGACTAAATCTGAATGCAGCTTGAAATGCAGTACAGAGTGGCTGCGTGTTTGGTACTGTGCAGAGGAGTCTCAGGGCAGTGCAGGGCACACACAGCATGGCTGGAGGTAGGGAGCCTGTGTCTATCAGTAGCAAAAAGAGAGACGCAGAGAGCACTGCAGCATGGTCCCACCTCTTGTGGGACAACTGTTGCTCTGGAGATCATCAGTTTGTCTGAGGGGCTATCTGCTGAGCAGGTTCCACTGTGTAGCTCCTGTCAGGCATGTGTATGTGGTCTCTAGCATATGCAAGGCAGCTAGACCTCTCAGCAGGGCCACGTAAGAGCAGGGCTTGCACCTCTGGCTAAGACAAGCCCCTCATGTTGAGGGGCTCAACAGGCTCTTTGGCTTGGGGCTGCTTCAGCTCTGCCCAGGAGTCACAGAAGCTGGTGACTGGAAGGGCTGTGGTGCTGGATGGCTGGGGACATGGCGGTGTGTAGTGGGGCTGGGTGGAAGAGCTGCTGGGAGCAAGTTTATTGATATACTTTTGCTCTTGTCAGACGCTGACTGGAAGCCCCAGGTGATTGTGTTGCCAATCCCCGTCCCGATCTTTGTGCCTGTGCCTATGCATATGTACTGCCAGAAAGTACCTGTGCCTTTCTCCATGCCTGTCCCGGTAAGTGACACACTCCACATGCTCATGTTCTTGTACGGTCTTGATCCTGCCTTGCTGCAGCCTCCCTGCTTCTCTGTTTGTCCTCTTCTCCTGCCTCTCCTTTTACATCAGTCATCTGAGTGTCAGTTTTCTGCCTGGTATGCTGCTGTCAACAGGTGCCTGTGCCAATGTTCCTGCCTACCACACTGGAAAGCACAGATAAGATTGTGGAGACCATTGAGGAGCTGAAGGTGAAGATCCCCTCCAATCCCCTGGAGGCTGACATCCTGGCCATGGCCGAGATGATTGCAGAGGCTGAGGAACTGGACAAGGCCTCCTCAGACCTGTGCGGTAGGTTCTGCCATGGCTTGGTCTGGCCCAACAGCTACAGTAATGGGATTTGCCAGCTCCTGAAGCTAGAGCATCTGCATGGATCGCAGTTCCCCCAAAGCCTTTGAAAAGAGAGCCAGAAAAAGCAAGTCCTCAACTTCTGCTGAGGAGGTACCAGGAGAAAAGAGCTGCAGCAGGGAGCAGTATCTACCACTATCGCTTTCGAGGGTGCCAGTCTTGTGGCACATGTGCAGCACTGTTAGTTTACTCAGGTGGCTATTCAGGCTCTTGGCTAAAGCACCTTCCCAGCCAGAAGACTAGCAGTCCTGACCTTGCAGGTCTTTTTACTTGGAGGGCTGCATTCCTCAAGCCTCAGTGACCAGGGCTGTGGCTGAGGAGAAGACAAACATCCAGTGTCTTGCTATCCAGGGAAAGCTGGGCAGTTGGGTTTATGATATGCTTTTGCATTGCAGACCTGGTGAGTAACCAGAGTGCAGAGGGTCTCCTGGAGGACTGTGATCTGTTTGGACCAGCACGAGACGATGTGTTGGCTATGGCTGTCAAGATGGCAAATGTCCTCGATGAGCCGGGCCAGGACCTGGAGGCTGACTTCCCTAAGAGTAAGAGCTGGGCGAAGCAGGCATGCAGGGCTGCTCATGCTGCAGCAGGGTTCTTCTGCTGCCCTCAGCCGATCATTGCCAGCAGCATTAAGAGCCTTGTGAACTTACCTCCCCATGACCTCTGACTGACCAGGCTTGAGGCCAGGAGCTGAGTCTTGCAGGTGACTGCTTGCAGCAGGGGTGAGGAAACCACCACTTTTGAAGGAGTATGAGTTTGTCTAGACTAACTGACCTGTTGTGAACACAGGTCTGCAGAGAACAGGGAATGAGAAGCTGATATTAACAGCACAAAGAGCAGGGCAATGGCGCTGGTGTGCTTCTGAATGATGATTCCAGAGGATCCTCCAAGGCAAGAGACAGACCTAGACAGGGCATGACATCCTGGGAGACAGCAGAATTGCTCAGTGTCCATTAGCGGACATAAGGTAGAAAAACAAGCAGGGACTTGCAGGAGCACAGCAGTGCTGAGGCAGGATGCTAGCAGCAAAGCACAGAGAATTGGGATGCCTGTGTCAGGCTGTCCCCAGTGCTGGCCTGGCACAAGTGGATGAGAATGTGGGGCTCTGGTTAGTCTGAGAAAGCTTAGCATCATCTGCCAGAGCTGTATTTCCTTTGTTGGGCAGTAGCTAAAAGTTCATGCCAGGCAGTGGTGGAGAGTGTGAAGCCTTGGGCTGCATGTTCCTTTTTCATCTTGCTACAAGATCCAGGCCAGCACAGAGGACAGGATGAGAAGTCTGAGCTGAACCCTTCTGCCTGTGTTTCCTTTTAGACCCTCTAGACATCAACCCCAGTGTGGACTTCCTCTTTGACTGTGGGCTGGTGGGACCAGATGATGTGTCCACAGAGCAAGATCTGCCTCGTGCTGTCCGAAAGGTGAGCTCACCATGGTTACTGCCTGCTTAAAGCTCTTTGGCTTTGGAGTGGCAGCTGCCATCTGGGATGTACAAGGTGAAGTGTGCCAGAGGCTTTGGTGTGCTGGGGAGGTTGTGCCCTCTTCCTTCAGGGCATGCCTGGCCTGTGGGTCACTGCTTGAATGAAAATACTTAAATACTTGCCTGTCACTTTGGAGGAGCTTTGAATGCCACAGGTCATGTGAGAGCTTTTCCTGCCTGTGGTCCTCAGAACCAATGAGCCTGGTTGGCTTGGCTGTGAGCAGAAGGCAGTCTGCTGGCACAGGCACACCGAGAGGGAGCTGGCAGTCAGCAGTCTGAGGGGTGGCCAGGACTCTTGCATCTGTAGGTGCTCAGTCTCACAGTACACCTCTCTGCAGGGGCAGAAGCGTCTGGTGCTCTCTGAAAGCTGTTCCCGGGACTCAATGAGCAGCCAGCCCAGCTGCACGGTGCTGAACTACTCATATGGCGTGAATGCCTGGAAGTCCTGGGTGCAAGCCAAGTATGCAGGGGGAGAGACCAGCAAGGGAGAGGAGCTACGCTTTGGCCGTAAGTGCCCTGTCTGGATGGGGTGGAGTGGCAGAAACCTCCCAGAAGCTGGGTGCCAGAGTGTTGAGATGCTCCTGGCCTTGCAGGCTATTGTCTGAGGCTGCCGCATTTGTCTCCCCAGCCAAGCCCATGAGGATCAAGGAAGACATCTTGGCCTGCACAGCAGCTGAGCTCAACTATGGCCTGGCCCAGTTTGTCAAGGAAATAACACGGCCCAATGGGGAGCGCTACGAACCAGACAGCATCTATTACCTCTGCCTTGGCATCCAGCAGGTGAGGGAGGGCTTGCGGCCCTCAAGTCCTCCACAGCCAGACCTGGGGGTCAGAGCTGGTGACGGAGGCTTGCACTTTTTGTTTTGCCTTCTGGGAACCCAGAGAGACTCACTGGACAATCCTTCAGTGCCTTACCTCAGGACAGCAGCCCACCTGGTTTGGTCTTTGTTCCCAAGCCCAGCGAGTAGGATGGCAGCTATTCCCCAGCGTTGTACCCTTCTTGCACATCCTCGAGGAAGGCTGGGAGATCTCCCCAAACTCAGTCCCTTCTTCACCACCAAGTTTGCTTTGTTGTGCCCCAGCATTTTCCTCACAGCTCTCAGAAGTGGCTGGTTTTAGGAGTCTGCCCTGCAGCTCTGGCTGTACAAAGAGGGATGCTCTGCATGTGTGCCCTGGGCTCTCTGGGGAGGGTTTGTGTTCCAGGTGCTACTGTGTCTCTCTTGACTTTGTGTTCTGTCCTTTCTAGTACCTGCTTGAGAACAATCGTATGGTGAATATATTTACAGACCTTTACTACCTGACCTTTGTGCAGGAGCTGAACAAATCCTTGAGCGGCTGGCAACCCACCATCTTACCAAATAGTATGTGTCTCCAGCGTGCCTTCAGTCACCGCCCATATACCGAGTTGGTGCTTTTAGCGTTGGATCCTCCCGTCTGATTCTGCTCCCTCAGCCTCAACCCTCTTCCTTGGCAGCATGGTCCCACTGTGTCTTGGGGTTGTACTGACCCATACGAACAGCAGAGTCAGCCTGCTTTATGCCTCAGCAGCTTCTGCTGCACAGTCAGGGTAGCTGGGAGCAGAGCACGGCTGCTTTGTGTCCTGGGACAGTTTGAATCTTTACCACGCTTCACAGTGATGTCTCCACTCTTTGGCAAAGAGGACACCAAGCCAGGAGGCATACTGGTCCATGCCTTTGTGTTCACCTTTGTGGGTGAGCCCTGCGCACTGTGCTAAGTATTGGCCAGGGTTGCTGTGCTGCTACCTTGTGAGCAGACTTACTTGGAGCTCTGCAAAGGCTTTTCATGATGCTGTGCTCTGGGCTGCATTCCCTGTGCTGTGTCGTGTCAGTGGTTAGTTCACGGATCCAGCTGCACCTTTGCATATTGGCTGTCCCAGGCAGAGACGTTTGACCCAGACCTGTGCATCTAGGCAGGAGCTGGCCGTGTCTGTCCTGCCTGCTGCTTTTCCTTTATCTCACACTGAGTGTGGTGGAGCACTGACCTGGAGTTCACATTGTGGCCATCTATAGGGATGAGCGGTTAGGATTAGTTTGGGTTCTGGCCTGTGTATAGGCTGTGCTCTGGGGTGGCTCGTGGCTGGGCAAAGCCAGCATCTAGCTGTGCTAATGGCTCTGGAGAAGCAACCTCATGGAAAAGGGGATGTTGTGAAGCATCAGTCTTTTGCAGTGAGCTTTCCTGGGCAGGGTGAAGGGATTGCCACAAAGCTGCTATTGCTGTGACCTGGTTCTTCCTCTGTGCATTGCAGACACAGTTTTCTCACGTGTCGAGGAGGAGCATCTCTGGGAGTGCAAGCAACTGGGCGTTTACTCACCCTTCGTGCTCCTCAACACCCTCATGTTCTTCAATACCAAGTTCTTCGGGTTGCAGACAGCAGAGGAGCACATGCAGCTTTCCTTCACCAACGTGGTGCGCCAGTCCCGCAAGTGCACCACGGCCCGTGGCCTGGCAAAGGTGGTGAGCATCCGCTACTACGCTCCTGCCAAGCAGAAGAAAGGCCGAGGTAGGGTCTGACAGAGCATCTCTCTGTCCCTCCCCTTGCCTCCCCCATTGGGTCCCAGATGTGATCTTGCCCTCTGTCCATCTGCAGATGGCAGCTCTGGAAAGCGGAAGCGCGAGGAGGAGGTACCAATGCTGGAGCAGCGGGAGAACAGGATGAACCCACTCCGATGCCCAGTCAAGTTCTATGAGTTTTATCTCTCCAAATGGTGAGGCTTTCTCTGGAGAAGGGGCGTGTACCATTTTGGTGGGACCCTGTGGAGTGTCTGCTGCTCTCCAAGCATTTGTATTTGAGTGTGAAGCTTTGCCCACGGTCTGTGCCGCTTATATAGACTGTGGTTGAGAATGCTTCTCTCTGGCCCCTTCCATTACTTGAGTCTCTCCAGACAGGTAGGAATGTGCAGTATGAGTCCTGGTGCTTGGCTGGTTAGGGACTTTGGTCCTAGAGTGAGGAGCTGCAGACTCAGTTTGTGTCC